GGAGAAAAGTTCTTTAATTTGTGTTGATATTGAAACTTCTACATACATCACTATAATTGTCATTTGTTCAGCATTTAATGTTATCTTAATCTTGTGTGAAAATTCTAGGAAGAGATGATGTTTAGTGCTTGTTTGTAGGGGGTTTATAACAATCCTTTGTTTTTCTAGTTAATAAAGTAGCCCCTTTATTCAGGGATTCACTATAATCATTAGAGTTATGATGAAGAAGTATTGCTATAGTTACATAATTTCATTAATGTTTTTACCTCTTATCTTGTTAGCTGGCAAAAGACATGGCAGCAGCAGCAGTGAGATGCATCAGAAAAGAAATCAGAGATCTTTACATTAACATTCAGCCTGTTCGAGAACCTGATGATCAAGCCTTTGGGACTGGAAGTGGGATAATGTAAGATAAGCTGAAACTTTCTATTGATACCTGTAACCTTGCTAGTTGGTTAACTAGATCTCGATTAAATATCTGATAAATACAGTGTAAGGTGAGTGATTTTGTTCTCAATATTGATTCTGCTTTTTCTGTTTAGCATTGTTGCAGAGACTTCAACGGGTTGTTTGTTAGCTGGGTCATCACTTGGCAAGAGAGGTAAGAGTTACATGAAATATACCTCTTTTGGATTTAAGATAATGTACTATTAACAAATAGGAATCTGAAGTATAATCTATTCAAAGATCTGTTGCTTTGAGTGTTGCATTTTTAAATGAATGTTGTTTAGTAATAAAGGACAGTAGAAATAAGCAGATTTTAAAGGTAGTAAATGGAATCTTACACTTTGTACTAAGCTGCATCTGCATAGTGACAAAAATTAGAAAATTATTAAACTCATCTTTTATCAGAATGGATTGTTAAGGATCACTGAGTTGAAAATGTTTCTGGACTTCAAGAACATACAGTCTTTGTGGTTTACCTGTGAAGTTTTTGTTCATCAGTGAATCTAGATGTGTATCGATATTAAAAGGAATAGAAGTGATTTTGGTTTTAAATGGTTTGAATAAATCTTTCTCTGACTAAGTGGGGCTGCTTTCTTTCCACTTCTTAGTAAGTATGAGCTATATGTCATCATAAGATGGGAGGGTTTGTTTAAGCAGACATTTGAGGCAAGAGCGTGGAAGTAAGGTGTAAAAAGTTGATTGTTTCTTGATTCTCTCTTTTTTTCCTTCTGTATTTTTCAAATGTTAAATAATAATTGGCAGCATCCTCATCTCCTGGGTTTCTCTGTTAGGAAAGAATGCTGACAAGGTTGGCATCGAAGCAGCTGAGATACTGCTTAGGAATCTTAAACATGGTGGAACTGTGGATGATTCTCTGCAAGACCAAGTAAGGTTCCTGTATGTGTTTACATGAAGTTGAAGTAGAAAGAACATGGATGTATGTATCACTTGTAAATAATATAAATCTGAACAGGGGAAGAATGAAGTGTAGATTTCAAAGTTAGACTGTATCTCTCCAGGTAGGCGTGGCTTTACATAATTATTTGATAACTAGAAGTCTTAGGAGGTTTCCAGGTGTGGTCACAACATTACTAGGATTAGCAAATTACATACAGTTCTTTGGAACCACAGATGCTCCTGGCTTTGCACCAACACCCTTAGATTTTCCCTTCCTGTAAATCTTAGTAGGTATGGAAGAAAGAGGTAGGAATTTGCTTCTGTTTGGCACTGCATGTAGTGGAGTAAAAATAGCTCCCTGGTTACACATTAAGAATTATACTAGGTGAAGCTATTAGAGAACAGAATATCTAGGAGGTGCTCCTGTTTGTCTTGCTCACCTAATTTCATTTGAGAATGAAGTGCCTCCACTATCTTATTTTCAATAACGCAGCCGGATAAGAATCTTGGGCTGTTATAGATAAGATGATGTTACCTCTTAGCTGTAAACACCTGGCCACACATTACTATTATGTAGTAAAATAGGAGGTATTTAGGTCTTGGACTTACCCTATTTTTTGCAAAGCATGCACAGTACCATTGGTGGAAACATGCTATAGCTAGGTTCAGTGTGTATGGGAACTGCTAACGCAGCCTGATAAGAATCTTGGGCTGTTATAGATGAGATGATGTTACCTCTTAGCTGTAAACACCTGGCCACACATTACTATTATGTAGTAAAATAGGAGGTATTTAGGTCTTGGACTTACCCTATTTTTTGCAAAGCATGCACAGTACCATTGGTGGAAACATGCTATAGCTAGGTTCAGTGTGTATGGGAACTGCTTAGAGTTATATCATGCTTTACAGAGTACTTGTCATGGTGATGTTTGTAAATCAAATCAGATTTTTTAAAATGTCTGTTTGGCGAATATGTGATCAGAAAGTGTTAGAATTAAAAAACCTCTTCCTGACTTTTTTCTCTCCATAAAGGTAATCTATCAATTTGGAGTCTGACATGACTTTGGGGAATTTCGGCGTGCGAGGGTGGGAGAGAGCAAAGTTAAATGTAGTAACAGGAATTCAGTGGCAAACTCCAGTGTGGAAAAGTAGCAGCCCTTCTGTAATAGGCATTACACTAATTTCCAAGCTTCTTGAGCCTTGGATCACTCTTAACACTCAGCATCATGAACTTCTATGAAACTGGACAGATCACATTTTTACATCTACAGACATTTTGCATGTTTTTCCTTCCTTTTTTTTTATCAATAAGTTCCTAGGATCTGAAGAGTTACTCAATAATTACCTCTCCTTCTCTTTCAGCTGATCATTTTTATGGCGCTAGCAAAGGGAGTGTCTAGAGTGAAAAGTGGGCCAATTACACTTCATACTCAAACAGCTATACACTTTGCAGAGCAGCTAACAAAGGTGAGTCCAAAAGTTCAGGAAGTTTTACCTATGGGTTGAATTAGGCACCGTACATTTTAGCAGGCCTTGATCATGGAGGACAAGCATTGATAAAACAATTGCTACAATATTTATATGGGAGTTTACCTGTAGAAAGTGAACATACTTAAGAGTTAAATGCCTTTAGAATGGTTAGATACGTTTACCACCTTTATTTAAATGTTTTTCAATGAAATCAGTCAAAGCTGTAACATACATAGACACATGGCCATATGATTATTGGGCATCAGATATTGAATATTTAAACTTAGGTATGTTATAGCTTAATTAGTGATATACTTTTAATCCTGTTTTAGGCCAAATTTACTGTGACAAAATCGTAAGAGGAAGAGCCCAGTAAAGACAGCTACATCATTGAGTGCCAAGGAATGGGGATGATAAACCCAAACCTATAGGGTTAAAAAAAAGAAAAGCAGCAAGCTGACAAAAGCAAAACTCAACATACCTCAGTGATGTATTGCATGTGAACAGGAGGAGCTTTCTGTCACATCTGAGTGATTTAACTTCAAGGATGATGTCGAGTTTTTCCTTGGTGTGCTGAGAACCTGCGGTATGAAAAATGGAAACTTTTTTTTTCTTTTTTTTACTATTAGCAGCAAAATGAGTACAGACAGGACAGCAAATAGAATACACTGTATGTGTCTGAGATCATCAACTAGAAGCTTTGAAAATTCAGATTCACCAAAGTAGAAAATACCTATTCCAGTTTTGAATAAAATACTGATACATTCTTTCCCCTTTACAAAATGTAAGTTTTATTCTTTGGGAACCTTTATGTTATGAGGTATGTGGAATGAAGTGCACCATCAAATCTGTATCGCTGTTCTTCCTTATCCATTTTGCTTAAATTGTGCGTGAGGAAATAATAAAGCAATATCACCATATGAAAGCCTGGCATTCGTATTTGCTGTTATTTCAGCAGGTTGTGTTATTGGGAGATGGATACAAGGTAACTCTTTTTCTCCAATACTGGGAATGGTCTGAAGGGGGCAGCAGCTACCCGCTGAAGTGCGTTTGTAGCACTGGCGTTGAAGAGCACCTCTGAATTACCGGTCTGTACTGATAAAGATTTTTAGCATTTCCTTTTGAAGAACTCTGAATATATTTTTCAAAAAACAATTGAAAGAAAGCCCCCAAAGAGTTGTTGTCTCTGCTTAAGAAAACAAGCTCTTCTAAAGCACATTTGAATGCATCTTTACCTGTTTCCACAATTCAAAATATTAATTTACTTGACTAATTTAACTTCTAATGGAGAGACTCCTGTTGAAGGGATGGCTGGGTGTAATTTAATTCGACCTCCTGATCAAAGGACCACTAACTTAGAAGTTATATCGGATTGATTAGAGCCTTGTCTAGTCAGATTTTGAAAATTTTTGAAGATGGAGGTTCTACGTTTTTTCTGGGCAGCTGAACCACAAGCTTAACCACTCCCAGAACTGATATTTAATGTAAGCAGGCAAAAGGGTTAGGCTTTTTGTTTGCTTAGGTTTTGTGGGTGTTTGTTTGTTTGTTTCTTAAGCTGAGAGACTGCTTCTTAAATGGAAGTTACTTCTTGCTACAGAAAACATGTTGGGAAGGTGAGCTTAGCAATATACCAGTTCTTCATTATTTCTTCAGAAGAAAATATGGCAGAAGAAAATTATATAATCAGCTCTACCTTACTCAGAAGATTTCTGGTAGATGGGAAATACTCAAGTTGCTCTGGCAGCTGAGAACAAGAAAGCTTCAGTAAGCCCTAGAATGAAGATGATAAAACCAAAATTTTCTTACAAGTAGTTATATATCCTTGCTGCAAATTAATATAGAAAAGCATATTGAATACAGTTTGTAACCTACATCATTAAAGTATTCCTTTTTGTTACCTTTGAAGTTCAATTGTTGGATTCTCTGTAATTGAATATCTTTTTACCAATATCCAATCAAGCAACTTTCACAGAGTACATGCAATTAGATTTATTTTTTAATTATGCAATTCCAACATTTATAGAAATTATGCTCCTCAAGAGAGAATACAATTGACGTTCTTTGTATTGTTATTCACAGTAAGCCAACATTGTATACATCTTTATAAATTAAACTAATGCCTTCCCTATAGGTTTTAAAATCTCTAGCGAGTGCCTTACACACTTGGTCATCTTGCCTTGTAATCACTGCTTCACTTCAGCAATCAAATAAGAATGACCCACTTTCTTGCCTCATAGATTCTTCGTGGACTGTAAGCATACTTAGATGTTAATACCTAGATGGTTTAAAGACTAAATAAATCAGCATAACTAGCTCCTGTCATGTTAAGAAAACCTTATGAATAAAAGCACAGCTAAATTAAATAATTTAGGTTTAGGCAGACTTTTATATATTTGTGCACATATACATACTGCATTGTGTATGAAAAGTAGGATAAGCTTGAGCATGATTTTATATCTGGTCTTAAACGCTGGTTGGAGTACCTTTTCATAGCTTTTTCATAGCTTTTTGCTCCTGAAAAACTATGCCAGTTTGCACACCTGAGATGTTGTCTGCAGTACTACAAAAATTTTTCCCACATTCACAAATGCCCAAGGCTGTCTTGGAACAATTGCAGCAAAAAAGAAGAGGTAGCAAAATCTTGAGAGAACTATTTTACATTAGAATCTCTAGCTGTATCCAACACTTCCTGAAATCAGGTCTATCTAACTAAAATTTTTTTTGAAATAATTTAAAAATGTGCAGGTTTTGTTTCTAAGGAAAATTAAAAAATTCAAGAAAACAAAATTCAGTTGAACAAAAATTCCCATTCAAAATTGAAATGCAATTCCTGCCTTCCAAACAGACATGCAAAAGCATATAAATGCTCAGCCAACTTACTTAACAAAGATTAACAAAACCCAGGTTACCAGAAAAAAACCTCATCTTAGTAAATGTACAACCGATAGCAGCTCAGTAAATCTGGCAACTATTACTGCCCCTCCCCACTCTCCATAAGCCTGTTGTGGGGAGCAGATGGTCATTAATAATTGGCAGTCCCTGGTACCTTCCTTGCAGGCCCGTTCAAGTGTCCATCCCCCTCGTCTTGTGGCATGGCCACTGGGCCACCAGTAGACGGATGAGGAGCATGGTGCACTGGCCCTTCCTTCCTCGCCTCTGTCATTGCAAGGGCTGTCCCCTTATGCCATCCCTGCAGTGCCTCCTGGCTTGAAGGAACCTGGTCCTCATTTGATCAGGCTATACGTGCAACCTTTTTCTCCTTGGGGGTTAGAAAAATCTCTAGATGGGAGACACTGACAACAGAATGTACTCTTCAATAGGATTAAATTCCCAAAACAATTTTTACTCCCTGCTGTACGTGCAGACACACATACATATACACAGAATTTTATTACCCAGGCCCAATTCACATCCCGTCACCTTGTGGTGACCTCTTACAAGGAAATGTTTAGCATAATTCCTATTCTTTTTCTATATACAACAATTAATTAGTCTTCATTACATATATACTTGAACAAATTTTAACTGAGGTAATAAAATTCAAAAAAGTAATTTGGGACTACTAGTATCATTCATATTCTACCAAGTTGCTATTTTCCCTTTTCAGCAGGGTTCTGCATCATAAAACTTAAATCCTCCAGGTTTACATTTACTTTCAATTCACTCAGATTTTAAATCTACAAGTCAAAACATGAGCTGCAGATCCTGTTACATCACACTCCTACATTGCACGTGCTGTATGTACTTAAGCTTAAATTTTACAGCATAATTAATTCTTAAAATTAATGCAGTGTGTGCCAATTAGTTGTTGGTAGTTAGTGGTGTAGCTTTTCTTTTTTTAAACTTCCTGCCCTTTTTAAATATTAACTAATAATTACAGTGCATTAGTTGAAGCTTTTTAACTTTCATTTATATCCATTTACAATCATATCATTTTTAGTGATAAGGTTGGATTAAGTCACTTGTGGGAATATATTAACCTTTTGTTCAGGAAGAGATGAGACATTGCTTCCACCTGCTCTACAAATATACACTGGGTTTTCTTATGTTAATATCAGGCCCATTTGAATCTTATATAAAAACTTCGGTGTGGGTGTACAGATACAACTAGGATGCTTACATTTAATACTGCTCAAACAAGTAGTGGTGATGACTCACAAGTTCTATATACCAAGGAAATGGAATTAATCCTCTCAAAGCATGTGTCCCTAGTGTACTTCCATGAGAGAGAACTGTGTTTGGATGAATGTGATGATCAGAGAAAGGCACTGCATTGAGATATGCGGGAACTGAAGTCTCAAGACAAGTAATACGGGCATTATATGCAGTCAGTTAGTTACAAAAAGTTCCCCAGGAAATACTGCACTCTGCATCTGACTGAACTCTGTTACTCTCAAAAACAGTACCTTTGAACCTTTGCTCCTTTCATGCTCTTAAATCTACTTCAGCTGGTAACTCTTCCAAGCCTAAGTGTCTCATTCTGGTCACTAAGTAATAGTAAAACATCTACTATTTTCTAGACCTTGTTGAGAATACTGATTCAGTTTTGGGCCCCTCCATACAAGTCAGACAGCAATGGTCAAGCTGGTCTGGGGTTGGAGCCCCATGCAGAGAGGCTGAGGGAAGGGGCCATGCTTGGCCTGGGGAAGGGGTGGATTTGGGCACCTACCAGCAACCTGCCAGTGCCTGCGAGGAGGTTATGGAAGAGACAGAGCCAGGCCCTTCGTGCGGGTGCACGGCGGGAGGGCGAGAGGCAGCAGAGGTAAGCTGAAACAAGAGAGGCTCAGGCTGGACAGAGTCCTGACCAACCTAGCCTGAGCTCATGGCTGACCCTGCATTGAGCGGGAGTTCGGATCAGAGCCCTCCTGCAGTCCCTTCCCACCTCAATTACCCTATGATCCTCAGTGCACTATCTGGCAACTAATGATCATCTGAACGTAGTGTGGAAGAATTCTCTAAAATATTCCAGCACAGGTTATTTGTAACTGACGTTGTTAAAATGAGCCATAGGTTAAATGAAGCATTATACCAAAAAAAGGTGCATATAGGGAAAAAAATGCCAAATTAAATTCTTTATAATGGAAATAATGGAGGTTTTTTAGAATTAGAGCTATATCTTCTTGAATTAAAAACAAGTGAATGCAAACACAGAGATTCAATCTGTTGGTAATTGGAGAGAATGGGAAGTATTATCACTATCTAAAAATCAAGTAAGATAGGTCATCTGGAAAGTGCTTCCCTAATATTTGACTGCAGAAAAGTCTGTAAAAACTGAGGAGAACAAGTGGGAACACAGTCCTGTGTAAACTTAGGCAGAACCGGAATTTTTCTTTAATCCCAGATTTACTAGTGCATTGAAGACCAAAGTTCAAGGCTTAGGAAACCTACTGGTAAGTCCACTTAAAAGGTAAAAGCTTTTATAGAGTACACATATGGAGAAGCTCACACTACAGGCTGTGTGATTTTGAGTTTTTGTACCACCCAGCTGCCTCTTAGG